TGCACGATGACTTTCGTCTTTTTCCTAGGCTGAGATACTAGACTCTCCCGTCGCTAGCTCTCATACAAACGCAGAGAGCTAGCAGGGGCATGAGAGCCTAGAGAGGCGGCGAGGGTCAATGTGCGAATTAGAGGGACTCTACCACTTTTAACACTCCCGAACCGCTGGGGCATCGTCTGAACAACAAAGTCTGGCACTGGCCTAACCTGCTCACCATAGTCAATCGAAGGCACGTTCTGCGATTGAATAGATGTACGATGATCGCATCGGAGGCCGTGTGCAGCAATATCCGGCCGAGGATGGGTCCCCAAAACTCTGCGTCTTCGCTCCAGTCGACGACGTAGTCCTGATGGTCAAGAATGGGGGAGGGGGTGCGTAAAGAGATGCAGAGTTTTGGGACCCATCCCCTCAGGGTACTGTTGCGCACCGTCTCAGAATAAAAGCAGTTGCGGGAGTTGGCGTATCCTTAACGATAGAAAGCAAAAACTGCTGAGAATCTTGAAATTACACTGAGAACCAGATCAAAAGGGATATACGCTCCGCTCCCGCAATCCCTCGTTGGTTGGTTTCATCGCCATATTGTACTTGACCGTACTCTATCTTATATCGGGAACTGCGACTGTGCGTGGCAAGCGCTAGTGAGAAGAAGAACATCGTATTCTACCATCTCAAAATCAAACGCTAACGACTCCCGAAGGTGTGGTACGCAGACTCCGCCCATACGATCAGCTTGCAGTATGACTTTCAGGGTTTGTTTGCTCTGTTTCATTACTGACAAGGATTAACCCCATTTCCACCACGTACAAACTCTCGACCCATGAGAGCTTGGTCACCTCTCGAATGGACAACGTGAATGCAACACAATGGTTCTGCTGACCAGCACAGAAAAGCCGCCCGTAAGACTTTCGATGTTGGTCATCGTGAACATCTGCGTGTACATATTTCGTGTTATCCTCGTTCCTCGGAGCTGTTGAGGAAGGAGGTGGAGGTTTTCCGGCCCAGGATGACCTACATAACCCCTTCTCTACCAGAGATATACATAACCTGATCACCACATACAGACTACGGCTAAAACCGCTTCACCACCGCTCCAGATATTGAAAATTGCTTGCTAGGTCCACTGTATCTTCCAGAGCTAATGAAAGCTGGGCAATGTTTGTGATTGAGATCTACAATCAAACTGGGAGGAATAATAATCCAGAATCTCACCTAATTCTGGCGAGGAACATCAATTCAGGAAACTTCCTTAGTCAAAAGATGGTACAGAACTCACGAGTCATTGAGCGACTTTCCGACGGGTTTTTGTGATCGGAACGGTTGTCGCTGACGATGTCTTGAACTATGACTGCGTTGTCGCTTCTTTTTACGCTCCAGCTTCGATTTGAAGAGATAACAGAAAAACATACAGATGAATAGGAATGTACCGCCACAGAACACACCCGCAATAACAATTGTCTTATCGGTGCTGCTCTCCTTTCTTGCACCTGAACAGAACCATTGCTCATTCTCTTCGTTAATGCAACAAGAAACAGCCCATAGCCGCAAAATCAAGTTGAACTGGGAGCTCTCCAATGAAAAGTGAACATTGGATCGTTTCGTCAGTGCGTATCTAAATACACATTACACGCAGCCTGAGACTAATGAAGTCGAAGACGAAAATGTAGGGCTTTGTGGTTGGCCATCAAAGAAGAAAACAGAAGGAGTCACTAAAAATGCCAACAAGGGGCCGTAATGCGCGTTTGACTCAGGGTATTACACAAGCCGTCGACCCCGGAAAAAAGAACTCCCGGAAGGACGAGACAAAGTGAAATCTGTCATCAAGGTGCGGGAACGAGCAGAGTGACGAGGGGGGACGCAGACACCATTGTAGCGTCATTTCCAAACAGGGTCAACTGTGCATTCGACAGTTCTCAACGAGTGGGATCGCTTGAGTTTCTTCGAAGGGAGTCATTTTTAGGGCCTGTGAAGGTCATGTGAAGGGCAGCTGATTGGAAAGGGATGCTTGGGAGTGCAAAAAATTTTGAAAGTCCAAAAAATTTTTAAAACGTGAAGTAGGAAAGAGGTCAGGAGCGTTTTCCGTTAAAAATTTGATTGAACAGTAATTCGAAAACGTAAGGATGAAGTGGTCAAAGTTTAGAGCCGTTTGATCGACTCTATTTACCCCCACCCATCCCTCCGCTTGACGCGCCGCCTGTGGAAAGTAGACGAAGTTGAGTTAGGTGATTGGTATCATGATTGGTCTCAATAAATTCTATAGAAACAGCCATGATGGTGAGAGCGGCGGTCAGGGAAAGGGGATCGTATTGGGGGACTGCTAAGGCTGATGGTGTGGTGAGGGGTGTATCGAGCGTTAAAAATTGCTGTGCGACCAAGGCGATTGCGGGCCATTCTAAGTTACAAACGAAGGTGGTTGAACTGAATTAATCGTGACATTAGCATTCAGGAAGTTTTACAAAGTACTATAGCCTTTCAGTACAACTTTTTTTGGGGGAACAGCCGCCCAACAAACTTTCCTGAGGAGACTGTTCGGATGAAACAATGGCTAGTCACTACGACGGGTGGGGAGGGGGGCTACTACGGGGGCGGGCGGGTTTACTGGCGCATATGCCTTCGATTTGCACACACCTTAGCATAATAACCACTTTCAAAAGAAGATTAAACGGTAGCGAACGCTGGGGACGTAGGTGTTATGTTATCTAAGAATAAAAAAGGAAAAGGAAGGAAACAAAAAAAAACAAAAAGAATCGTAATGCAACTCCCTATAGTTGAATCGGGGCATTGTACGGTCACACGTCGGAAGAGAGTGCGAGTTGGAAAGAGAGTATTGAGTGAGGATGGGGGTGAGGAAGCATAGGAATGAGAGAGACGCAGACAGGACGCGTGATCATTTTAGGACCTGACTGCCGAGATAGAACCACCTGGTATGCGCCTTTGATCAGTGCCAATAGCACATACCATTTCGTCTAACAAGCGAAGGACGTAAGTAATTTAAAAGCCAAACTAGTTGTTCACACTCGGGCACACTTCAAATCACTGCAATCATTCAACGATTAATTAAGCATATAGAGAACACTTACTACTATGTATCAATCAATAGCCATGTAATACACTGCACACAGATGAATCAGATCGGATTCCACACAGCAATCAGAAGCGGTGAGATGTTCAGCAGCTGAGACACAACGACGGTTGTGGTCGAGCTGATAAACAACATCGACAATGAGCCGGACATGGACGATGATTGCACTCTTGCACCTCAAAACACATGCAGGAATCAGCGACATCATCCTATTTAACCAAAACATCAACGAAACTACCAAGAGGGAACCATTAGGTGATAAGGCTTTGTTTAGTAGACATTAACACACTTATGATCTCTGAACGCGGACACGCTATGCACTGGAGTCACACGTGCTCAATCTGCTATACTACTTGAAGCCAAACTCTAGTTCATTCACTATGCGGTTATCATTATGCATGACAGATCAAGTTGTCAAGTATTGCATGCAAAATTTTTGGATGAGTTCTCTTTCATAAACGTTTCAAACGGACGAGTTTCGACCAATGAGGTGAGTCACGCTATTATCCTTAAGGGTCTGCGTCCGATCGCCTTATCAGGGGGATGCATGATAAAGAGCTAAAACGGCGAGGGCCGATATGCAACTCAGAGGCATAGAGGAAAGCCTTCATCCTGAAAAATCTCTTCCGTGGTTAGATGACACAAAATTTGGAAGCGACATGGACTTCCGCTACAAGGTGAGCGCTCTGAAAAGCTGGTAGAAAAATAGACCTGAAAAATAAAAACTATGGGAAGGCTCTCAGGTCGGTGTTAGGCTGGTGTCAGACTTTGAGAATCGAGCGATTTCCGCGTCGCGTACAGCGAATCAAGCCATGCGCAGTACGCGACTTTGTGAATCGAGCAATCGAGCTACAAGCGATTCGCAGCAAACGCTAGCGAATCGCTTGTAGCTCGATCGCTCGATTCACAAAGTCTGACATCGGCCTTGCGCAATTGACTGGGACACAAACGGGAAATGCTATATTCGCTGGAATCCCTCCATGTCCCGTTTTGAAAATAATTCATCTGAATTGACTTGCATGCAGGAAAGGGTGCAGCCTGCGTCATGAACGCAAGGCTCGGGGGGGGGGAGCTCGTTCAACTGCCAAATCCCAGCGAATTCGCAGCATTTTGATACGGATTGCAACAAGCTTCAGACTCTAAAATCTGGATGATGTCTTTCACCATGTCGCATTGAACATATTGCAGTTTTATGATTGCATGGAGAAAAAATTAATACTTTTTTACAGCATAAGGTTTCTTACATATTGTCGCGTCCGGTTGCGTAGCGGCTGTGAAATACAAGCCTGTCCGGGCGAAAAATGGCAAAAGCGAAGG